ACATGCATTTCTAATCTCTATATGCATGACTATCACTGGTCACAGTCGCTCTTTTTAACAGGTGTAAAAATACAACAGAGGGCTGGGGTTTATAGTTTAGTTATGGAATGTGTTCTTAGCATGTAGATTCTGATCTCAACCCCCAGCATGTACATACAAAAATGCAGCTGAGATAAGACTATACAGGAGCCATGACACTTGGAAGGGTTTGCCTTGGTTTCCCAGGGGGTGCCCCATATTTTCTATAAGGAAGCCACCTAACTACAAAAAAGGGAGAAAGGGGTTCTATGTGGAGGGAACAGCACAGACAAAGGAATGGATTTGGGAGGGAGCTGCTTTTGGTCTCTGTCCTGAAGGAGGCACTCTCTCCTATAGTTTTAGGTTTGGGGTTGCTCTGTGCGCTGGTTTGGGGTTTTAGTGCATGGCCTTTGCAGCTGGTAGAGCAGGTGTGATTCTGCCCCACCTCTGAGTGTTATGCTGCCCCACCTGCAGGTGCGCTCACTAGAGGCCCACATGTACCCGGAAAAGCTCAAGGTGATTGCACAGCAGGTGCAGCTACAGCAGCAACAGGAGCAGGTGCGGCTGCTGCACCAGGAGAAGCTGGAGCGGGAACAGCAGCACTTGCGGACTCAGGTGAGCAAGGGGCTCTGAGAGGGGCCATCATGGGCTGCCTGGAGGTTCTCAAAACTTTGAAGCCAGGTTCAGACTGTATAAGGGGCAAAAATAAAAATGTGGTCATTGCTGGGTTTTCAGGTATCTTGTGAACATTAGTACATAGAATCCTCACAGCAATCCTTTGAAGCTTGAGTTGTTATGCTCCTGTTTTATTGCTGTGGCAGATGAGGCACAGAAAGGTCAAATAACCTGCCTGGGAACTCATGTGATTAGGAGCAGGAATTTGAATCCTCTCTGTCTAAATCTAAGGTCTATGCTCTTCCTTTTTTGATGGTGCTAGGGATTGAACCCAGGGCCAGGCAACCATTCTACCACTTGAGATCAGTGGTCTATTAGATGCTGAACTACTTCTTGGTACAGGAAAATGAAGGGGCCAGAGAATCTGGGATGGACAGAAGCTGCATTTGTTTTTTGTAGCCACAGCTGGCCTGGAACTCACTATGTAGACCAGGCTGGCCTTAGAGAGAAAAGAGAAAGAGGCTAGCATCTTACTATTCTCTTGGAGGATATGTCTGTCCAATTACCTAAAGGCCTTCCACTGGGTTCTGTTATTATTAGGATTTTTCTTTTTCTTTCTTTTTGAGACAGCCTGTAGCCATAGCTGGCATGGATTTGCTATATAGACCAGGCTGGCCTCAAACTCACAGAGATCGGCCTGCCTCTGCCTCCCGAGTGCTGGGATTAAAGGTGTGTGCTACCATGCCCTGCTAGTATTTTTCTTAATATAGGGTCTTGGTATCATCTCAGGCTGGCCTTGAGCTCACTATATAGCCCAGGATGACCTTGAATTTGTGATCCTCCTGCTCAGCTTCCTGCACACTGTGATCACAGATGTGTATCACCAGGCCCAGCATAGGTTCTACTAATACTAAGGCTTCTACCATCTTCCAGTAGTTTCATCCTGGGGACCAAGCCTTTACCCATGACTTTGGGGGAGGAGGCATTTAATATCTAAATTGTAAACAGAGACCCAGTGAGTAAGGAAGGTTGATGGGCTGGAAGAACCTGTGGGAGAAAGACTGAGGACTTCTGTCTTGCAGCTTCTGCCCCCTCCAGCTCCCACCCACCACCCCACAGTGATCGTGCCTGCACCGGCCCCGCCTCCCTCCCACCATATCAATGTTGTCACCATGGGTCCCTCCTCCGTCATCAACTCTGTTTCTACATCCCGGCAAAATCTGGATACCATTGTGCAGGTACTTAGGCTCAGGGAAGGGTGGTTTGTGGGAGGTGACCCCCCCGGGAACAGGCTTTTGAGCAGACCAGAGCATAAAAGAAGAGCAAGCAAGGACTTGTGTAGTAGGGGTAAAGATCTAGATACCCAGGTGAGTCTCCTTCCCCATGCCTAGGGACCAAGAGCCTCCTTTCAAAAATGGCATTGTGTGTGTGTGTGTGTGTGTTTACACATTCTCTTGCTTGCATGTGCAGCACACATGTGTAGAGATCACTCATGTGGGAGTCAGAGGATAACTTGCAGGTGTCACTTCTCTCCACCATTTTGGATCCAAGGACTGAATTCAGGTTGTAAGACTTGGCTGTAAGTGCCTTTATCAACTAAGCCATATCACTGGCCTGAGAAGCTTCTTTGTTCTCAGAGCAGACTCAGGTGATGAGTCTGTATCCAGGTAGTGGGTTGGTCCAGAACTTTCTCTTACCTTCATTTTACTTTTCTTTCCCTTCCTTTCTTCCTTTTGTGTGTATGTGATGTATGTGTAGGTGTATATGGTGTTTGTGTGGGGGCACAGGTGCACATGGGGTGGAAGCTAGGTATCAATCTTGGAGTATTCCTTGGAGCTGTCTACCATGTTTTTCTGAGACAAGATCTCTCAGTGAAATCTGAGGCTCACTGGTTAAGTTGGGCTGGCCAGCCAGTGAGTCCCGGGGATCCTCCTGACTTCACCTCCCCAGCCCTGGGATTACAAGTGCATGCTACCAAGCCTGACTTTTTTCTTTTTTTAATATTTTATTTATTATTTTTATATGTATGAGTGTATTGCCTGCATGTATGTGACTGCACCCGTGTCATGCGATGCCTGGGAGGTCAGAAGAGGGCGTCGGATTCTCCTGGAACTGGAGTTAAGGATGGTTTATAGCCGCTATGTGGGTGCTGGGAATTGAACCCTGGTCCTCTGCAAGAGCAGTCAGTGCTCTTAACCGCTGAGCCATCTCTCCAGCTCCCCAAGCCTGACTTTTTAATGGGTACTGGGGATTAAACTCAAACCCCCATGCTTGCACTTTATAGACTGAACTGCTTCTCCAACCTCTTTCACCTTTATTGGCAGTGACTGGGTAGGTGGTACTTAGGCCTCCTATCAGTGCTGTGGTAACATAAAAAAATAAATTAGCTAATGAATAATAAACTAAACCAAAAAGCAGAAACAAGAAAAAAAAACTATCAACCCCCAGAACTTTCATTGCATATAAGACCAGTAAACTGAAAAATACAATGACTAACAGACTAAGTTAATAGACTTTAAAATATATGAACATGGGGCTGGAGAGATGGGTCAGCCATTAAGAGCACTGACTGCTCTTGCAGAGGACCCAGGTTCGATTCCCAGCACCCACATGGTGGCTAACAACCATCTGTAACTCCAGTTCCAGGGGATCGGACACCTTCTTCTCACCTCCGCCAGTATTGCTTAACATGGGTGCACTTATACACATTCAGGCAATACACTCATACACATAAAATAAAAGTAATAAATAAAATATTAAAAAATATATGAATATAAGCCATGCTTGTCATTTCTAAACATCTGGGGCTGTGGTCTTCTTGGAAAAAGGGGTCTTTCAACTTAACAGAAGGGTCTTCTCTTTCTAACTCCACCCCCTACCTCTGCTTTGCTTAGCTTCTTTCTGAACAGTCTGGAATACGGTGTTGGAGGCAGATAGCAGCTGGCTAAGGGCCTCCACTCTCCTGGCTGGCCCAGTATCCCCTGCCAAGTCTCTGTAGCCTATCCCTTTCTGTTTAGGCTATCCAGCACATCGAGGGCACCCATGACAAGCAGGAGCTGGAGGAAGAACAGCGGAGAGCAGTCATCGTGAAGCCGGTCCGTAGCTGCCCAGAGGCTCACACCTCTGACACTGCCTCGGATTCAGAGGCCTCAGACAGCGATGCTATGGACCAGAGCCGGGAAGAGCCTTTAGGGGATGGCGAACTTCCCTGACCACCCCCCCAGCCCTCCTCTCCCTTCTGGGGGCTAGAGGGGGCCGGGGCAGCAACAAGGAGAAACATGGGTGAATGAGTGAGAAATTTTTACAAAATTATGATGTCATTTGGGTCTCTTTTATGACCTCTTTTTCAATACTGTAAGTTGACCTTTGAACGAAGCCACTCAAGCCCAGGTCCCGGGGTTGGGGTGGCACAGTGTGTGTGGGAGCATCGGGACCCCAGGGCTGGGCCTTGGCCCTGGGGGCTAGGGAAGCTGACACTGTGGTGCCTGGCCTCTCTCCGCCAAAAAACCTTTTTTTTTTTTCCATTTAAACGTGTTGTTAAAAACAGGGAAAAAATCAAACAAAACCCCAAGGTATTTCCTCTCCCCAGAGCCAGCCCTAAGACTGTCAACTTTCAACCCCTCTTTCCTCCTTTATTTGGTTTTCTTCTTTCTCCTTTAAGCACTTACATGGGTTGGGGGTCAGGCTGGGCTGGGGCTTTCTGGGGACCCGGGGGGTCTACATTGCTTCTCGGTTGGGGTTTGCTGCTGCCCTTCTCCTCTCCCTTTCCTCCCTGTCCCCACCTCAGTACCAGAATTGGCCACTCTCCATCCTTGACCCTCTACCTTTCCCTCCAGGGTTCCCATTGTTGACCCCCAAAATGTCTTTGTCTCTCTCTTTTTGTTTTGTTTGTTGTTGGTTTTATTTTGGTTTTGGTTTCTGTCTTTTTTAAAACAATTTTGAGGTCTTTGTGTCTAAGGAGAAACTATTATATTTTGTTAAGAAAGTGTGTGTGGGGGGGAAAAAAACCAAGAGGCCACCGTGCCTTTGTAAAGAAACAAAATAAAGTTTGTACTTTGTTTTTTAGATTTTGTATCTTTTGAGAGTATACTGTTCCAAGGACCTGGGCAAGGTACTTTGCCTAGACTAAGGAGTGTTCTTCGGACCTCTAAATCCAGAGGGGATTATGGGAACATGATGGTTCCCCTAAACTGTGCATGAAGTTCTAATGAAGATATTGGGGTCCTTAGGTTCCATGGGATTACTCTGAATATTCTTCAACCATGAGAGGTTATGCTGGGGATAGAAAAGTGGCTTCCAACTTCTGTTTGGTCCACCACAGGAGAGAATGAATAACCAAGCCAGTTTCTAACTCCTAGAGAAATATAGATACAGGTCCTAGTGGGCCTCCTTCCTGGGCTTGTGTAACCCACCGGTTTACAAATCTCTCTAGGGATTCATAAAAGAACATCTGTCTCCAAAGTGGGATGGTACCAACAACCCAACCCAAAGACAAGTCGTGCAAGTCCAGCATGTCATGTGTAATTGAGTCTATTAGGGGTTACTTACAGAGCAGTGAACAACTAAAGATGTTTGCATTTTTTTGAAGTTCTCCCCTAACCCCATTATTATTATTTTTTTTTGGTCTTTTTGAGACAGGGTTTCCCTGTAGCTCCAGCTAGCCTGGAACTTGCTATGTAGACCAGGCTGGCCTCGAACTCACAGAGATCCACCTGCCTCTGCCTCCCAAGTGCTGGGATTAAAGGTATGTGCCATCATGCCTGGCAAAGTTTCTATTTTATATATATGGTTCTAAGCCCACACACAGAATTAATGTAGACCTGGGCTTAGAGCAGTACCTGGTTTTAAAGCAGCAGAGGTGACTATAGGCTCAGATAACTGGGCACAAACAGAACCAGACTCTGAAAATTATGTTTTTGTGCACTCAGCCTTTGCTTTGTGATCATAAGAAGGATGGCTTTTTTTTTTTTTTTTTTTTTTTTTTTTTTTTTTTTTTTTGCTGTGGTCTGGCACAGAACACTACTTGGAAGCTGGTTGCAAGGTGGAGTTACTCAGTCTAGGATTTGGAGAACAAATCTCATTACACCCCTGAACTCTAGTGTCTTCATCTGTAGAAGAGAGGGAAATGCTTCATGGTGTGACCTGCAAGTGCTCAGGCCCTAACCTTGGCCTGCCAGTGGTCCCTTCAACCTCAAGACAAGTCACTTCCTCTGATCTTCAGTTTCCTTTTCTGAAAATTGTAGGTAATTGCATTTTATTGGAGGTGGAGATTGTCTTTTAAGGTTCTTAACTTTCTCATGGCTAGAGATGACAACATGACTGGTTGTAGCCTCATTCATGGAAGAGACATGGGACTAAGGTTAGGGCAGAATTCCCATTTCCCCTCAGCATGCTTCTGGACATGAACTTAATAAAAAGACTGGAATTTTTGTTGTTTAGACAGTCTCACTATTTGCTCTGAATGGCCTGGAACTCTATGTAGATCAGGCTGGTTTCAAACCCAGAGAGCCACCTGTTCCTGCCTCCCCAGTGCTGGGATTAAAGACGTGTGCCATCATGCCCAGTAGGATTTTTTTCTTATGAATTTAAAATTTTTCTTTAGAAATTTCAAGGCATAAAACTTGTCATTTTACAAATGAACATTGGCACTTAGTACATTTACAATGTTAGTGAGCCTACCTAGTTCCAAAATAGCTCCACCATTCCAGAATGAGTCCTTTCCACATTAAGCAGTCACTCTCCATTACCCCTCCCAGTCCCTGGCAGCCACCAATCTCATTTTAGTATTCAAAACAAAACTGCTAGCCAGTGAGATGGCTCAGTAGGGCCTGCCACCAAGCCTGACCACCTGAGTTTGATCCCTGTTACCCACATGGTGGAAGGAGAGAACACCTGCAAGTTGTCCTCTGACCCCCACACCTGTGCCATGGCACAAGCAGACACACACACTAAATGTAATAAAAACAAAAGTAATTGCATTCATTGAAACTCACTTTAGTTCGGTGAGTTTTGACAAATGGATTCAAGTAGGTAGCAACCACCACCAAGGTAGGAATTAGTGCCTCCATTCTGTGATTTCCCCCCACTCTATTGTGGTCTGTGTTCCATCCCCACCCGCCTCGCCCCTGTATATTTCTCTTGCTATATTTTTGCGTTTTCCAAAATGTTAATGCCTCACTGAGAATGTAGCCGTTTGAATCGGGTGTTTTCAGGTAGCATTATGTCTAATTTTCTCTTACTGGATTGCATTCTGCTAAATCTACATCAGATAAGCGTGCATGAAGAGAGGGTCTTAGCTAGAATCTGGGTAGCCATCCCTTCCCAGGCCAGCAGCCAAGGGACCCCTTTCTGCCAAGTATGAGGCGGTAGGGCGCACACGCTCTGCAACCTCTGAGAGGATCAACAGAGGGCGCTGTGAGTTTAGGACGCCCGTCCTAGCCGAGCTCGGAGGCTCCGCCTTCTTCCGGTCTCCGGGCCGCTCCATTCCCATAGCCTAGAGGCGAGGCTTTTGGGGGCGGAGCCAGGGAAATTTCCCTTTCCCAGAGCAGCTGTCTTCGCCCCCAGGCTTTCTTTAGCCAGCGGAGGAAGTCAAGAGAGCTTTCGAATTCCCGCCCATTCGCGGACTGGCCACGCCCTCTGTGTCAGTGCGCATGCGTGTTAGCGCCTCAGGGCGTACCGCGCATTCCCGCCAGCAAGCTCTTCTGGCTCTTTCCCGGGCACGCCCACGGCGCCGATGCAGCGCCTTCTACCGGTTGGCGCTGGCGTTCTGGCTTTCTTCTCACGTGTGATTTAAAATGTTCCGGAAGTCGTCTTAAAACAGCCAAGAAATAGGTGATGCCTATTTTCATACGACACTTACTTTAACCGAAAATGTCTAGAACAGTGTCTCAGCGTTTATGATGGACATCTGAATTTAGGCGCCTTCATTGCGGTTAAGCCCGAGGCGGGGCGGAAAGATGTCAAGTTTAGACTATTGTGTTGTGAAGGGGTGTTGGAGCAGGAGTGACTAGAATCCAGCATTCAACTACACTTTTTTTTGGGGGGGGTTGTGATGCAAGGCAAATACTACCCCAGCCACCAGCGCCTGTTTTTAATTTTTTAAATTTGTATATATTTAATTTTTATTATATTTTATGTGTGTGAGTGTATTGCCTACGTGTGTGTATGTAAATGCACCTGTGTCGTGGAAGGCTTGGAGAGGTCAGAGGTGTTGGATCCCCTGGAACAGGTGTTATCGATGGTTGTTTGCTGCAATGTAGGTGCTGGAACTGAACCCAGGTCCTCTGCAAGAACAGTCAGTGCTCTTAACCACCGAGCCATCTCTCCAGCCCTAAATTTTTAATTACTTTTAAATTTTACCAGATTTTTTTTGTTTTTTAAATTTAATAAGCACATGATTAGAAGCAGCATTTCATTACAGCTTTAACATATTCAGTAACACACCAGAGCAAGGATACATCTCTTTCAAAAGTGGTTGTAAATTTTTAGGTTCATAGTTGAATTAATACCATTATACAGTATTGAACTCAGTATAAACCCTGTAAGATATAAAATTGAATGAGTTTTTATGCTTTAAAGACGATCTCCATTTCATTTTAAAATATGCTGTTTCCTACATTTTTAATGCTACAAACGCTTAGATGTTTGCACATGTGTCTTTAATCTCTATGTATCTGATGATTACTAGTCACAGTCAGTTACACTCGGATCCTTAGTACCTGAATATGGATGTAAAGTCATCAGGTAGATTTCACTGATAATCTTTATCACCTCTGCTATTTAATATGAAGTAAATTTTTATGCTTCATCCTCAAATATGTCTTTTAAAAAATTGTTGATTTTTCTGTGTGTATATCATACAGACCATCCCACATAATCTTATTCATCTATATACCCACTTCCCAAATGGCACCCTCCCATAGCCTTCCCCCTCCCACATACTGGAGCCCTTATACTCTGTCATCCCTGTTACTGTCTACTGTCCGTGTCTTCTCCAGTGCTTGTCTTTCTGCTGACTGTAGTCAGCCTGTCTAGAGATCCTTGCTTTAGGAACATTAGCTGTTCTTCATCTAGCAGCAATCCATTGTCAATATTCCTTTAGCTAAGATTGGGGTCTGCTGTTCATTGTCCCAGTTCTATGCTGGGTTACTGTCTGGGAGTCTCTTGCGCCACCTTGGCCAATAACTCAAAGGAAGGTATCTCCTGTCTGGCATTGTTCCATAGCCTTTAGCTATGCATATGGACTCTTAAAAATTATATTGACCCAATTAATTTTTGGTTATACTTTCCTTTTGGGTGTTTAAGACCCTACAGTTGGCCCAGTTAAACAATTTATTTTTACCCTTAAGGTCGTTTGAGGATCTGTTCCTCAAGGGTAACATGGGCTTGGGAGGAGCCCCTGGCTCCTTTTACCAGTTCTGTCTATGTGAAGATAAGTCAAAGGTCCTACTCAACCATGGCTGGCTTTGCTTGGAAGCATGGAGGAAATGTTTCCTCTATATTGACCCTCCTCTTTGTAGACTGGACACTGGTTCAGGTCCATCTGGTGGGGTCTCCATGGCCTCCTTGCTCAGGAGGACAGGTGACTCACCACAGTTACAGGACATTTTGAGAGATGCTCATAGTCCCCTGGAACTTACTCGACCTAGGGGAACAAGGAGCAAAAACTGCCTTTATGTCCCCTTGACCAAATTAGTATAGGCCTCAAAGTATGGCTGTTAAACATCCAAGGAGGTTAGTTCCACCAGTCTGGTACTTTTAATTACCAAATGCCATGTAGATAGAGCTTAGGCAAAGACCAAATGCTCTCAGATAAACCTTGCCTAGGCATATATTACATTCTTTGATCTGGTTGTATGTATAATGTCAGTAGGTTGTTGACCTAATATGGTTCCCTCTGGTTTTCTAAAAACTAGCTAGGCATTGTTTATCTCCCACATTGTCTAACCCTTCCACCATGGTTATCCCATTTAAGGTGCCCCCATTTTTTCCA